TTGCACCATTCAGCACTCAGGATTCCTAGTAATTTAGTAAATCACAAGCAATCCAGCAGGAAAAATAGCATCGTCTGCAGCGGGCTTTATACCTTCGCGCTCGCTCCCGTTACGAACCAAAGTTACGAACACTCTTGTGTTACCGACATTTCATGCATGCAGCACGTATGTATGTACATACACGGAACACAACCAAAACTGGCCACTGCATTACCCGCTTGAAAAATGGGCGTAGCACGGACACGCACCAAACTTTATCGGCAGTGCTTGAAAATGGGTGTAGCGGAATAGTTCCAAAGATGAAAATGGACGTAAGGCGCTGGAATCAGCCGAGCGAAAATGGCATCAAGTAAAACGCCGGCGTGGCCGCTCTCAGGTTTCTCTCTGTCATGACGAACCGGATGGACGATCGAGGATATAAAAAAATTAACGTGAACGTGTAGTGCTAACGTCAATCGATACTTAAAAAACACCATCGATTCCAAGCTCGAGGAATGTCCACGGTGGATCCGCGTTTCATCGGTCGCTTCAAGAGCTCGAGTTGCGCAAAGTGAGGTTAGTTTTTCATTCTACTTGCATGTGCTCACGTTAAATTCGTTTCACATTCAATCGCGTGGGCCAGGATCACGGGCGTCTTACCGCGCTTTTGCACAGAACATTCATCGCGGTTTCCAGCAATCATGTCTAGCAATTACGGTAACGTCCGCTACCTAACCTAATCTAACCTAATCAGGTAGCTCGGTCGCCCGTCGCTCGAGGAGCAAGAAGTCCAAGGGAGCGCGGCGCAAAATTTACCGTGGCGTCAGAAAATCACGGTCGTCGGGGAAAAAGTCGGTCGGCCGGGTCGCCTCGCGCGAATTTCGCGCGGCCGCGCGCCAAGGGGGTTGCGCGCATGCCCGCGCGTCCCGTCGCGTCGCGGGGCCGCCCGGACTCCCGGACTGGTCTCCGCGGCAACCGCGGCTTATCGATTCGCCTAGGCGTCGCCGGCTGGCCAGTCGCGACCGTCAGCCGCACCGAGGAGGTGGCAGGTTCCTCGACTAGCGAGGGGGCGATCCGCATTGTTCGTAGGCAGGCGAGGAAAACGCTCGAGATTGTCCGTCCGCGACATGGAACGTCGGAGGACGAGCGCGAGAAGAGCGGGAGTCTCGACGGGACCGTGTCGTTGATCGAAGGACGACGTCGAAGCCTAAATGGCAACCGCGTCCGCGGTGACTCCGAGGCGGAAGGACCTGAAAACTTTACACGGTCGTCTGTCAAAGATAGCTATATCGTTCAGTGAATGCGGGCGTGAAATAGTAAACTGAGAACTTGTAATACTAAGGCGACACAAGCGCTTTGCGCGCGTGAAAATTTCTCTTGTAAACAATTCATTTTGTACACAGTCTCTTTGACAGCTCGTAGCACGAAGCGAGCGAAACGAGACAATGGCCGCATTCAGTACACACAACAGTCGAGGGATCGCTTCCTCTACTGGCGCTCTTTTCTACTGAATACGTTGTTGGGTGAGCGCTCGATGCAATCTAACTTAATTTCTGATCAACACGTGTGTGTATGTCAAATATGAACAATATAAATATTTTTTTACAATTCGTGGCTGATGGCCTAAATATTAATAGGGGGTTACAAGGCGTTTTTGAAGAAACGTGCCGAAACCTCATACAACACCTCTCTCTATATCCACTTCGCTATGTGGCGATCGAACGAAAAAGCAACAAATGTTTCGTTTGGTTTTGAACCCGGATCTTCGGATTACCAGACCAGCGCACAATCTGCGCCACGATCGCCACGGCCTAAGTATTAATATTGTTCGTAATATTGTTGATAATCTTATTCAACCGTTGCCTGAGAATGATCTTCGCGTTAGACAACGTCGAGCTGCAAAACCTCGAGACGAGGAATATTTTGAATCAACAATTCCAACATACACGGACGATCAATTCAGGGAACACTTTCGAATGTCTCGAGTAACTCCCAACAGTTACGTCGATGTAGCGTAAAAATTTCTGCTGGAAAACATGGCGTCTGCTACCTCAACATGTGGGAGCGCTTCGAATCATAGACCATTCAGCGCATAAATCCACAACTGTTGTGTGCGCTGAATGCGACCAATCGGCATCGCGGAAAAGAGACAACAATACACTCCGAGACATTCGAGTATCGACTTAACACGCCTTTTTTTATGAGGAGGAGAAGATTTCTCTTCAAAACAACTTGTTTTATACACAGCCTCTTTGACAGCTGTCAACATTCAGTCGTCTCGTCACTGATAGCTCGTAGCACGAAGTGAGCCAAGCGAGACAATCAGCATCGCGGAAAAGAGGTTCGAGACTTTCGAGTATCTACTTAACACGCCTTTTTTTGTGAGAGAAAAAGAAGAAAGAAAGGAAGGGATCGGGTTATAAAATGTTTTTTCACGCGAGGAAAAGTTCGGCGGTGACGAGGGACTATCGTATTTTCGAGGTAACCATGAAAGAATCGTAGAGAAACGAGCGATGCGAGGGAAGAAAGGAAAAAGACTGAACAAGAGTCAACTTGATTTGAAGAGTCGAGCTCGAGTTGCCGTCAACAACGAAGGGACGCATGAAGACGATTTTCTTTCATGTACCGTGACAAGTAACGAGCTCTGGCCTATTGATCTCTTTATCTTAAATACAGCACGAACGAGCTTCGATTGAGCCTATAAATCTCTCTTTAATTATGTTCGCCGTGCTAATCAAGTCGTATTTAACAGGAAAAACGATTGGATATTGTGCGATGCGGTGATAATAAGATGCGAGAAGGAGGAGGCTCTCTCGCGCGGCGCGAAGAGACGCGGAAAACGAGGACGAGGACGGTAGCTGCGTGACATTCGGTGACATTGAACGTCGATCGATACCACGGGCGCGCTATATCCAAGACAGAAATGACAGCGGCGAGAGAGCGAGCGCTGGGATGCTAAGCGAGGGCCGTGCAAAGTGCGCGATCGTCCGGTGCTGCTCGTCGCGGGACGCACGGCACGTGCCTCCGGAGGAGCGTAGATTCCGGCGCGTCCACGGCCTGCAGCTGCCCCTGCATCCGCAGCAGATCGCCGGCTGGGTGCTGCTGGTCATCGTGTTCGTCGGCACCTTCACCGTGCTGTTGTCGTCGCCGCCGCTGCTGCCGGAGCTGCGGCCCGTTCTGTCGCCGCTGTTCGCCGCGCTGTTCCTGCTGCACGTGTCGACCCACCTGACGGTGCTGCTGCTGGACCCGGCCGACCCGGAGGTTCGCGCCCGACCGGCCCGCGCGGTCGTGCCCGAGTTCGACCGAGCGAAGCACCGGCACGTCATTGAGAACGGCCGGTGTCACTTGTGCAACATCACGACGCACGGCCAGCGCACCAAGCACTGCTCCGTCTGCAACAAGTGCGTACCTCGCTTCGACCATCACTGCAAGTGGCTCAACAATTGCATCGGCGGCCGCAACTACCCGGCGTTCCTGGTGTGTCTGGTGTCGACGCTCGTCGTCGCGCTCGCGGTCACCGCGCTCGCCCTGGGCGACCTGGTGCTCGCTAACGCACATCTGCTTGTCGGCGAGCCGCGGCGCGGCGGCGGCGGCGGTGGCAGCGACAGCGGCAGCGGCAACGAGACCAGCATGAACAACGCTACGGCGACGCCGCCGTTACCACCGGCATCGACGCCCGGCACTGGCTCGCTCGTCCTCGTCACTGTTATAGGCGTCCTTTCGGCGATCGCCGCGGTCCTGCTCATTCACCTCTGTTTCTTCCACGGCTACATCGCCTGCCTAGGGCTCACCACGTACGAGTACGTGCGCGGCAAGCGGGAGAGAGGCGCCGCCGGCGCCGACTCGAGGACCACGTCCACCGCTGGTCCGTGCGGCATGCCTTATTGCACCGCCGCCGACGGCGAGGACGTCGACAGGACGCTACCTGGCGCACGAGGCCTCTGTTCTCGTTTTTGCGAGATTAACGGTCCTCCGCTCAAAAGTAACATGAGCACCACGAGGATGACGATGGCGACGACGGACGTGTACGTTTGCTCGACTCACGAGGAAACGCGCGACGGCGGCGCGGCAATGGTGAACGGCAAGGACGCCTGCTCGAAGACCCTGCCCTCGATGAAGAGCAGCCGAAACTTCCGCCTCTGTTTCTCGTACGACTCGCGCACCACCGAGACCTCCATCGAAGTCTCCTCGACGGAGCTGAGAAATCGGGGAGAATCACCGGACGCGAAGTCGTCCTCCACACCCTCACCGGTGTCTTGTTGCTTCTCCATCATGAACCATCCCCACGGCGGCGCCAGGCACGACGGGCGGAAGCGCTGCGCCGGCGAGCATCGTGCCGAGCCCGCGAAACGCTCCTGCGGGACCATGAGGAGGATACAGACTTTTCTGCAGGCCCGCCTGAGGAAGAGGCAGCGGCTGACGACCTCGACCTCGGCGATCGCTCGTCACTGCGGTAACAAAATAATCCCGCAGGCGGCCAGTACTCCGGACATCGTGTCCGCCTTGACCGAGGATCAGACTCGAACCGTCGAGGCAATGGAGCTAACGACACCGACGAATTACCCGCGGCCACCGGCGAGACTGCCCGCCCTGGATCTCTCGCGCACCGTTCACAAAATTAGAAAAGTGTCCTCGACCACCGCCGACATTTCCGTCCTGGGGCAAATGCCGTCTCCCACGGCGCCCAAACGAAGTCAAGCCCACCTGCGCACGCGGCGAAGCGCAAACTTCTCCAAGAAGAGACCGCGCTTCAAGGTCGGCTCGCACGTTGTCGTGCAGACCGCTCAGTTGTCGCCCATACCAGAGTCAGAGTTCTCGAAACCGGCCACACCGAGGTCGCCGTCGCGATCCGGCTCCATCTTCTCCTTCCCACCGTTACGCGAGTAACGCCAGCTGCACCGCATCGAGGTGCTAATTTCTTTCTTAGGAAATAAAGCCCAAAATTTAATCGGGAGGAATTTTCTCAGATGCGTCCGATGTACGAGTCTGCTTTTTGTAAAGAAAGGGTAAAACTTCTGTTTAGGAAAGCCTACTCCAATAACCTTGACCATAACATATGTTGTCACCCTCCTGAGTGACCTCCAAAAAGTTTTAGCCGTCGTTCGTTGTTTGTTAAAAAATTATTAATACAAGAAGTTTCATAGATATGTCATTGTTTTCCGACACCGTTTATATTTCAGAAGCGAGAACGTTGTGTGCTATACTGTAGAAAGTTTGTGGAGGAACATGAGAGCAAATATTCCTCGCTATGGCACACGCGATTACCACTTCACGAATTACCTTGCTGAATTTTTATTGAAGAGAGTATACTCTTTCGTAAACGTATATGATATCGTAAAATTATGCTTTATTAAACTTTTTTGTTAATAACTTTTTAACAAACAACGAGCGACGGCTAAAACCTTTTGAAGATCACTGAGGAGGGTAATTTTGAGAACATATGTCAAGGTCAAGGTCATTGGAGCAGGCTCCCTAAACAAGAGTTTTATCCAAGAAAGTAACATTATAAGGCGTTTCTATTAGAAAGGCGTTTATGCATTAACGTAATGCAAGGCTTAATGCGATCTGTGGAGGTTTAAAATATACATAAAGTAACTATTAATGTAACTACAATATTAAATTATTTACTAGTTATCGAAAAAAGGTAACGATGTTAAGTTAGTTACCAAAAAAAGTAACTGTAACTGTAACTTTTCGTTACAAGTAACGAGTTACTTCCCAACCCTGGTAAAATTATACGTTTTCAATTCGACGTAAAATGTGATACGACAAAACGTGTTTGAAATGAATTTTTGTAGACAGACTCGTGTACACGGAGAGAATTTTCTCTTAAAATTTATCTTGAAAATCATGTAATCGTGGGACAACGCGGTATTTCGAAGAATTTTATGAGTTTTTCGAAATCATTACACGATTTTCAGGGTAAATTTTAAGACAAAATTCTCTGTGTATATACGATGTTATTACGTGCGATTAGATAAAAAAAGATTAAAGTTTCGTTGGATATGAACGACTCAAAATTTCTCCAAGATTTTTATAATTTTACACGAGGAAAACATCCAAGAAGGCTTTGTAATTGGCAACGTGTAGTGGAAAGTCCCTTATTATGGGATAGGCTCCTAATATGAGATGAGCGGAGTTTCTGCTAAATTAATAGACATTATCTGTTGGTTCCACCATGAATTTATTACCCTTGGAGTGAAATCTGTTTAGTGAAAAATTGATTGTTAGATCGTGTAATCGTTTCGAAAAAAGATTGTGATTGAATTTTGACGTTAAAAACCTTCTATCTCATATTAGAATCCTATCTCATAATAGAGGATTTTCCTCTATTAATTAAAAATTCTTGATCTCGTCGCCAAGAAAGAAACGGATTGTTTGTAAAACTTATGCCTAGCATAAAGATAAAAGTTCGACTTTGTAAAAAATGGCCACTCTAACTATCGACCAAGCATCGGTACCGAGTCATGCGACGGTTATAGTAATGCTTCCAAGTTGTATGACGTCAATTTATACCGATATAGCGCAATCGGTGTCACTTTACTGGATCGCACTACCTGGAAAGTGACATTATTACATCGTGCGACAAGTTTCCTCTGCAAATTCCTTTACATTCTCCGGGGAAAAAGTTAAATGAATAAATGTAATAATTACGCCATTTTTTGGTCAGAGCTGATTTTCTGTAGTCTAATAGTCCTACGTGAATTTTTTCCAGTCTCGGTAAATTTTCGTTCGTTCTCAGTCCTTTATTTATTGAAACAGTAAATTCACATACTCTCTTAAATCGATAAAATCGATTTTAATTTTTTATGCTGATACGTATCCTATTTAAAAATCGAAGAAAGATTTTATTGCGAAGAATATCACTTCAGCCAAGGTTTGAATGACTTAAGGCCTGAGCAGAATGGCTGTACCCTTAAGACACAAGACATAATAAGAGCCTGAACAGAATGGCTATCTTGTATTCTTAAAGGCCATTCTACAATTGCGTAAACGTGGTTGTTAGCGGTTGTACAGTGTTGTAAAACACAGTTTTAAACTAGCATTTCCGATTGTAAAGCCTGTTGTAAAAGATGGTTGAACTTCATCTTTCACGACTACAACGACGTAGGACGTAAAAATTAACCAATCATTCACTTCAATTATGACGTATCTCACTCTATTGTATATTACTTTAATATACAACACTTACTCCTACAACCCTACAACTACGTTTACGCAATTGTAGAATGGCCTTAAGTCACAAGACAGTTATTATGCGTTACTTTAAAACACAGATTTAAAACACAAAACATTGTCTTAAGAGTACAAGACAGCTGTTCTGCTCAGGCCCTTAGCTTTGCACGTGATTGCAAGTGAAATGGCATCGCTCATGCGATCTTTATGCACACAGATAATGTCCGAGGCTACGGAGTCACCTGACAAGGAGGATGCTGCCTCGAAGAGGAAGACCAACGTTTGGGAGGCTCTGGGTTCGCCGCGCTACATAGTCGCGCCGATGGTGGACGCGAGTGAATTGGCGTGGAGACTGCTCAGCAGACGACACGGCGCTCAGCTCTGTTACACGCCGATGCTGCACTCCTCAGTCTTCTGTCGGGATCCCAAATACAGACGCGAGGCCCTTGCCAGTACCAGCGAGGATCGTCCGCTAATTGTACAGGTCTGCTTGCCACAACCGAGACTCTCACTTTGTAGACGATAAGATTAAGGGGGTTTCTTGCGGGACTATGAAGGAACATTTGACGAAAGGATACAATTTCTGAGTGAAAAGCCTGATCTACAATGTGCGTCTAGAAACATTTTATTTTATAGCCAATATATGCATTTAAAAAATTTATGCCACCTGATTAATTGTACACTATACATTGTACAATCGTGCATTGTCGATAAATTTTTTAGGCGTCTCGATTTACTTAAAAAAATTGAATGTTTAATTTAAGCCTAATCTACAATGTGCTCTTTGCTGCTAGGAACATTCTATTTTATACAGTCAGCAAATATGTTTAAAAAAATTGTGAAAGCTTATCAAATTGTACAATGTATAATTGTACAATCGTACACCGTTGACAAATCTTTTAAGCGTTTTGATTTGTTTATCTAAAATAGAATATTTCCAGATGTAGAGAGCACATTATATAATAGATTAGGCTTAAACCTCAAGTATACGACCAAGCAACTGTGTGACTGAATTAACGTGCCGAATCGAACATTTAATAGATATATCTTGAATAATCTTTCTTGAACATCCTTACAAAAGTAAAGATTTTAAATGCGGGGAGAGAATAATGCAGAAACAAAGGAGAGAAAGGCGTTTAAACGCGTTGAACTTTTGCGCAATAGTATTTCGTTTTCCAGTTTTGTGGTAACGATCCAAATATATTATTGGAAGCTGCACGCTGGGCCGAATCGTACTGCGACGCGGTCGACATCAATATCGGTTGTCCGCAGGCAATTGCAAAACGCGGACATTACGGAGCTTTTTTACAGGATGACTGGGATTTGTTAAAGAAAATCGGTACGTATGCGTTTGATTTTACACGTCCGAAGCTTTAGATTGTAACAACAATATAATGTAATAGATCTCTCGTATTTGCGCAGTGTCGATTTTAAAAAATGGACTACGCATACCTGTCACCTGTAAACTACGGGTGTTTCCGGAAATCAATCGTACTGTAGAATACGCTTGTATGCTGGAGAACGCAGGTGCTAGCTTACTCACTGTCCACGGACGCACGAGAGAGCAAAAGGGTCCCTTAACTGGAGTAGCGTCTTGGAAGCACATTAAAGCCGTAAGGTGAGTATTCCTACCTCTCTCTTCTCACTTTTTTACCTCACTCGAAACACTCACTGTATAATTATGAGAGGAGAATCTATCAGGGAAGCTAATGCGGACCAAGCAAGATGTGGATAGCTCGATGGTTTAATGTGTAAATTGTATATTTCCAACACGTCCTGCGCGCCGATTACTTTTCGCTCTTGAAACAGTTTCTTTGGCGGAACAGCAAATTCACATATCTAACTTGTATACACTCCCCACTCTTCGTCACTGTAAAGAATTCTTTTTGCGAAAAAATATTACCTCGGCCAGGGTTTGAACCCGGACCCTCCTCTCACCAAATTGGACCATTTCCTATGAAAGGAGATTACATTTCCGTATTCGAACACTTTCATATTCTACATCTCTTATTCTTAGTAATTGATACATTATTTCGTTTAATCAGGGATGCCGTGAAGATTCCTGTGATCGCCAATGGCAATGTACAATGTATGCAAGATGTACAGCGGTGCATCGAGGAGATTCAAGTGCAGGGTGTGATGTCGGCGGAAGGGAATCTTTACAATCCGTACATATTCGAGTCTCGCTACCCCGCCTGTTGGGAGCCTGCCTTGGAATACTTGGAACTTGTAGAGCAACATCCGGTGCCAGCTTCATACATCCGCGGCCACTTGTTTAAACTCTTTCATCACGTGTATGTATTGATCTTTCAATCATATCGAATTGCAAATAACAAAGCGTAACTCCCAAACGTGCGCACGGCATGCTTTTAACTAGAGAGTAGACTTTGTTTAGCAGAAAATCAAGAAGAAAGGGAAAGTCTGGCCACCAACTCCACTATGGAAACCTTTAAGAGTGTCACGTATGCCTTGAGGGACCGTTATCTACCATACCATGAAGGACGTTTGATATGGCAGACGGGAAGAACAGGTAATAACTTAATGACCTGCAGAAGATTTTCATTTGTTACGCTCACGTTAAATATCTTTTGCTATTTTTAGATTACAATTTGGAGTTGCCACCGTGGTTGTGTCAACCTTATGTACGAGAGCCACCACAAGAATACACACAAAAAGTACAGGTAAACAGCTCTGAACAATAATTGCCGTATCTTATTTGATTGCATTTTTCTCAGTCCTGATTTACTTATTCACTTTTAATGATTAATTGCATGTACTATTTTCTTTCTGTTGCATCACGATTGAGGAAACACTTTGAAAATAACGATAAAAATTTTCAGGAAGGTGCACTTCGGAAACGTGAGTACAGGGACGAGGAAGGAAACGAAATATCGCGAAAACGTTCGAAAAAGCTTAAGCGGATAGCGCGTAGACCGAATAGAGCAACCTTGATTCCTAAGAGAAGTTCAGATCGATGTCATGCCTGTCCGAATCCTCTGGTTAGTTGGAATACTTTCAGAATACAGACTTTTCTTACTAGCTTGCTCTTTAAAAGATATTTTCAAGAAGGGCTAATATTTAAAATAATGTAACATTTGGAGGAGAAAGTTCTAATGCGTTATTTTAAATTGTAGGGTTTTAAATGTGAATATAAATTATGTCGACAGTGCTGTAAGCACAAGTGTTATATAGAAAATTTAGACTGTGCTGGTCACAGAAATCTAACCAAAACTAGAAGGCAGATGGCGAAAGAATTTGAAGCAAAGCGTAAGGAAGTTGAAAATGTGACAAAAATATGACGCTATGTATAAAATATTTTAAATAAAACTAGATGTATATAAATGTGTATTTGAACTTTCGGTTTCCGATCTGAATTTCATTTTACCAACTTCCGTGAGAATCCTGCTATCACTTTCATTTATTGGTTATATTAATACCAGACAACACAAGTCCAGTATTGATTGTATCTACAGTCTATTTTACACAATATCGTATTTTGAAAAGCTAATGAGGTAATGTACAAATCTCACAGAGACCTGAAATTTATAACGATATTGCAATAATTTGTACTATCACTGACATGTCCAATGGAATAAAATTACACAGAGGAAATTGTTGTAGCGATAGGCGTTGGAGTGAAAATGGCCAGTAGATTCTTCTTTGCTGACTCGCTGTGAGAAGATTCGACTTTATCTCCCTGTTTTTCCGTGTTGGCCCAATGCTTTTTGCTTGAGAATATCAGCATCATCAACAGGGGTAGATGAAGCAACGAAAATCGAAACAATTTCCTAGAATTAGCACTATCCGAATGCTTATTAAATTTCCAAGCTAAAATTTAAAATATTGCATGTTTAACATGGCGAAAAATCTCACGAGCGTAAATACATATGCAAGATATCCAAAAGGATTCAGGCCAAACTTATACAATATTTAAAATGCGTTATTAATCAAATCGTGGTTCAAGCAGTAACTCATCCGAGGCGTTGTAAAGCCACAAGGATGGTTTTGGTAATAAGTCATCGGTCTTTTTTATAAATTTGATTAGACAAACTTTTATGTCTTCTTAATGAATTATACTTCGGCTCTAACTTTCAAATACACCGCGTATGTAAAATACAGAGAAATTCTATATATATATTTTTTAAATTATGTATATGTATACAATAATACATATACACTATATAGAGGAAAGTCCTCTATTATGAGATAGGATTCTAATATGAGATAGTGGGTTTTCAACGTTTAAGTTCAATCACAAATATTTTTTGCACCGATTACATGATCTAACAATGAATTTTCCGCTAAACAGATTTCACTCCAAGGGCAATAAATTCATGGTGGAACCAACAGATAATACCTATTAACCCTAGAACCCGACACATGGGTAAAATTTACCCAGAACAACTTTTCGAACGTTACCGCTCTGAAAATATAAGGAGTTAGCAGTACTATACTAGGGTCAAAATTAGTTAACTAATCCCTTTGTTGGAAGGCATGACTCAGCTATTTTCTCACCTAACCGTTTTCAACAGGGAAGACAGCAAAATTTCGTTCGGGTAAATTTTACCCATGTGTCGGGTTTACGTTGGAAAATTCATTCCTAATGTTTTCTTGTTTGTAATAGATTTATCTTTCTTTCTAGTTTTTATTGAAAACTTGGTTGCTGATGTGTGATAAATGTGCTTTAGAGGTTATAATTGTATCAAGTAAGTATATTTATTACATATAATATAATATTAATCTAATACAATATTATTCTTATATCTTTCTGTTCTGAAGAAAAATGTCACATTTTCTTATAATAAAATAATTTTGAAAGGAAAAATAGAGTTATTAAGTAAATAAACCCATAAAAAGTCCCATTCATATCTTGTTCGAACCTATTTTCCTTTTGTAAAAAAATATAGTTTTTTTAATAACCAGCGATCTGCTCCTAGATTTTCTCAAAGAATTAACCTTCTTCTTTAAAATCGCGTTTGCCTCATTGCTTTATCTGTTATAGTTAAAAAGTTATTAATTTTTTAGAGAATAGCGAATTTTGAAGAAACATGTGTTTCGTTTTTTAATTATAATTTTCTTCAACTTTATTTAATCGCAAAGCTGTTAGCATAATTATCTTCCTCGATGTTTTCTACACCGATTTAAAAAAAAAACATTGAATTTCGACCATTTTTTCGAGAGTTATTAGCAAATGAAAATGCGCTGGGTAAAATTTACCCATGTGTCGAGTTTACGTAACTTTTCGACGTGTCGGGTTCTAGGGTTAATTTAGCAGAAATTCCGCTCTCATATTAGGAGCCTATCTCATAATAGGGGACCTTCCTCTACATATATGCGCATGCATACTTTACCTAGATACAGGAAAGATGCGTTGACTGGCGTCGAAGCCAGCGCAAACCACCAATGGGTTACATCCAACGCAGGAGCCAAGTAACACAACGCCATTAAAACCGCTGTGTATCTCACAGTCGTTCTGCGACATAAATCCGGGTTTGTGACGGCCATCATTCGATAGCCGGCTCGTGAGTAATCCGGTCTTAGGTTCCACGAAAGAGCGTTAAAGTGTGGAAATTGCCACGCATATAAAATTCCAGGCAAGAGCCAAGCGGCTGGGGTCAGGATGCTGCCGGCGCAACCTGCCCAGCCCATAAGAGGGGGAATAGCTCCTACTATAAAGGAAATAACAAATTACAATGTTATAACGATCGTTACGACGTGAAAATATATACTTACCAACAGAGCCGATCCACGTGTTGACAATACTGATGCGTTTCATGGGTGTATATATGAGCGTGTACAAAACAAGATTGCCAGCACCTAGCGCTGCTGTGATACCATTCACTTCATGGTAAAGTACGGATAATCCAACAATGCCAGTCACTGCAGCAAATGCTATTGCATGAACAGGCCTAATAATGTACAAATGCACATTCAATTGTCATTATTATTGAGTTATATAAATCTGATTATGTCACGATATAAAACAGACTTGAAAGAACTCACGTCAAATGACCACGTACCAATACCCGATTTTTCGTCCGCGACATTTGCGCGTCAAAGGGGACTTCAAAGAATTGATTAACTGTATTTGCAGTGGCGGAGACTAAGCCTGTACCTAAGGAGCACATTACAAATGTGTGCAAGTCAAATGGCAAGGGAGCCAATGCGTATCCAGCCATAGTTGTCGCTACAACGAGATCTGAAATAGAAAAAAAAAATTATATTAGAATACACAGAAAAGAAATTAGTGCCAGATCAACTCTTATATACTCAACTTAACGCGTTCATTGTTTTGTATGTACGTAAAAATCTACAATCTTCTTAGAAGCATTTAATAATCTCACATTTCAACAATATTACAGTCTTATTTAAATACTATAATTGCCACTTCAAGCATACATATAATTATTTTGATAATAAAATCATTTTAACCATTACAATCTACAATTTGAAAATATGTTATTTTCTATCCATATTGTTTCCTTACCATTTAAGCAAATTATCCTTGAATAACAAGCATGTATGTTTTTTGATTGAATTATAGAAAATTGCTTCATTCGAGTAAGTTTTTCTTCCTTTAACGCAATTTAATCTCATTTCAAGATTTTCACGTTGAAACTAAACATATTTTTAAAAGAACCTTCTTTTTTTCTGTGTAGTGAATTAAATGTATTTGTGGGTCAGCTTGAGATATGTCAAATTATGTTTTAATCAAGCATTTGAAATAAGAAACTTATTTTTTTCTAACTTGCAAATAGTTACACTTTTAATCGATGCAGGTTTAACGTATACAATATACTTACATGTCAATCTAATCTTTGATAATCTGAGGTAGTGCTTGTGAAGTTTGGTATAATCGATTAAGATAGGCGTCCATTCTGAGCTTTCTGTCTTATGCGCGTCTTTCTCAGTTTCATATGCAACATTTTTCTGGACAAGAGGAACTGTTAGACCTGTCGCACCAAATCGTTCGTGGCCATCTTTCAGGGTTTGTGTCGGTTCTCCCACGTATCCAGTCTTTGTAGCCTTACGTCTTGGGAAGCCAGAGCCCTGGAATTAAAATTTATGTTGCCTCTTTTCTTTAGAAAACCACAGAGCGGTAGCTATTAAACCCTTTGAATGACACAAACCATGATGACGGAAAACTTCGGCACAAGATTGCATGACACGTGCCGGCAGCTTCTTAGTGGATGAACAATAAATAACATGATTGAGTTTAACTTTAGTGTTCGCTTCCATTGACCTAAAGGTAGAATAAAGCGTAAGTGCCGAAAAGTGTTCTAATCTAGTCGCGACCCTTGTCATAACCTACAAACGAGCTGAAAACGTTTTCCTGCATTTTTAGCTAATAACAATTGCATACTCACATTTTCGTGCGCCAACATAATTTCCATTATTAGCATGCGTTGATCATTGCGTAACGACATAACAATAGTACTTTAGAGTACTTAAAATTATTCTTCTTCTTGTTGTTAATGGCTCCTGGATCCTAGTCGGCTCCAATACGGCCACGTCTAACCAATTGTCGTTTAGGTATCCGCCAGCCCCGGTGGAGGGAGGCGTCCCCCACACGGAAGGGGGACTCGCTCTCCCCTCCTGAACGGCGAGCGGGAGTTTCAAATCTGCCCATTTATGGACTTGAAAAATGCCGCAGTCAATCTACAGAGCTTGGCGGTTGGGAACTTGATTATTTGATGGAAATCTCCGTATGTCTGGGGGTACGAGGATTTAAGGTATTTAATAAGGTGGGTAGATTTGTCTTTATGGGAAGGACAATAGAATATTGTGTGGTTAATATCTTTTGTTACGTATGCGGACAGTTATCCCTTTTTTGAAGGTATCTCTAATTTCTTTCCAAATTTCTAATTTCTTTCCTAATTTCTTTCTAATTTCTTTCAGAGACAATACGAAAATGTACCAGAAATAATGTTCTATAAAGCCCACTTTACACGATCTATAATTCGCGACAAAATTCAAGATAGAATTCTATTTTATAATTCTGATTGTTCAAATGTTTTCTGTATTACACGATACATAAAAATTTAAAAATGGAATTCTGTCTCGAATTCTGTTGCGAATTATAGATCGTGTAAAGTGCACCAGGGAGAAATGTAAGATCGGATAGACTGCATCTATCAGACGTCGGAGCAGAAATATTTAAATTAGATGCAATGTGATTTTGTGTTATTTGTGTTTTTTCATACACAATGTACACAATAGTGGTGAATTATTAATGAAAAATTCTTTTTAAACTGCAAGTTACTTCTCGACATCTAATAGACATCTAATAGACCTATAGATAAACTTCTATTGACGTAGTGAGAAATAAAATGATCGAATCGATGTCTTTTGATGCATTTAACATCAATTTGATGTCGATTTGAATGAAAATGATAGATTTTGATGTTAAATGCGCATAAGCGCTATAAAACAAATTAAGGTAATTTACACATTTATTATATGATATTAATATTATAATTTTTTGAATGTATCGATTGGCTGCAAAATAGAAATATTAATTCTTGATCTTCTTATAATAGTTTTCTATTCTGCAACTATAATCAAGACTAAACAACATATGAGAGCACACCAATGTGGGTCACAAGGCAAGATGTAGGTAGCCCAACTTGTAAATCTTATATTTTTCTGAAAATCGTGAATCTATATACCGCTTCTTTCCACATTGGTTCTACACGCCGATTTCTTTTTCGGACATAACGTAGTTTTCTTACACGTGGAATTATTATCGTCAGCAAATTCACGTATTCGAAGCGATAAACGATTTTTTGTAATTATATTAAAAATGCTACATATTAACATTTTTCTGATGCTACATTTAGCATTCAATACCCCCCTTTTCTCGTGCTGTAAATTATTCTTATTGCGAAAAATATTACCTCAGCCAGGATTCGAACCTAGGCTGGGACCCCCTCAATCCGTGACAGGCGTCTTAGCGTTATGTCCGAAAAAGAAATCGACGCGTAGAACCAATGTGGAAAGAAACGGTATGTAGATTCACGATTTTCAGAAAAATATAAGATTTACAAGTTGGGCTAGACGTTCAAAAAATTGGGATTGGCTGATGCCGTCAGAGAACATAATTAATGTTAGATTTCTTCAGCCAAAAAACAGGCTGATGTTTATTTTGTCTTCAGTTTCTAAATTTTATTTATTTTATTATTAACGTTAATAGTATCTTAATAAAAACGATCATATTCTTATATCTCCGCGTCACTTCTAACTGCGTGGTGATTCCCTATCCAGTAAGCAGGAGCCTGTCCGTTTACACAAGACGTTTTGTAGACGTGTCTATAAGACGTCTATTAGACGCGTCTAAAAAGAGTCAAATCGACATCTATTTAGATGCGAAATTCGATCTACTTTAGAC